AGCGAGAGAAAGTTTTTCTTACAAAACCTTTCATTATTGAATCATGATACCTTGCTATGTTTTTATCATGCTTGTAAGCCTATACAATGATGAGAAGATAGCATTAGCAGATAAAGGTGTGCATGGCGGCTATAGCCTTTGGCGAGGACTATTGTACAAAGACGTAGGGGATGAATCACGCATCTTTGTACAAAAGTCAATGCAGGCGTAGGTTATTCGGAAGGCACACGAGCGAGGGCACTTTTCTGTTGAAAAGACATAGACACTGGTCGAAGATGTTTATTGAATCCCAGGTTTGTAACGGAAACTTGAGAAGATCATCCAGATCTGCTTGTCGTGCATCTTATCTGAACGGAATACTGATAAACCTGGACGATTTTTTAATCCAAACAATAAGGAGCCCACTCCCATCGACGAGAAAGTCCTACAAACATATTTTTGCAGTCATCGACGCATTCACTAAGTTTGTTTGGCTGTATGCGACGAAATCAATAACAACGGTTGAGGTGATCGAAAGACTATGAAGGTAAGCTAGTACTTTTACCAGACGCATCGTTAGTGACAGAGTCGCTGAGTTCACATCGAAGGAATTTCCTGCATATTGCCGTGATTAAGAAATTCGTCACGAGCTAATGACGACGCGCATCCCGCAAGCTAATGTTCAAATCGAAAAGGTGAATCATACGCTGATTCCACTTATTGAAAAGTTATCTCCTCCGAAACCTGATAAATGGTACCGTCACTAGAGACTGTTGAATACAACGCACCGAAGTACTGCAACTACACCATTAAGACATTTGTTCGGAGTCGAAGCATATGTTAAGGACGACCGGCGGTTATCAGAACTATTTGCGCAAGAATGCTCATGATAAAATTATGCACAGCCAAGAATAGAATAGGCGAAGTTTAGAAAATGAGTGCACCACTGTACCAAGAAGTAAATATAGTCGCCATTCGCCAGACGCAGCAGCGCCCAGGCTTGTAGTTTGCTTATAAGTTCTTGGGGCCCTACAAGATCATCAATCGTTTACAAAATGATGTAAGGCGCATTGGGGAGACCGAAGGTCCGAAGCAAACATCCACAGCAGCAGACTCAGTGAGGATTTTGGGATCTGTTTTGCAGTGCGGAGATTGAGAGAGAATACAAAGATGTCAGCTTAACTTTTGTGAAATAATAAATGGCGGTAATTAGAAGACTAGCTGGCGCGAAAAACACACACCTTGCCTTACCACACTGCAGACAATTTGCAATTTCAATTTCTAAATTTAAGAACTTTTACTGGTTTAAAAAAATATTTTCCCACAATGTGAATGTAAATTAACGTTAACGAACGCCCATCTAAATCTAAAACTATATTCTTTTATAATTATAATTTACAACTACATATCTACTCTCGGGGAATTATAATATATTGCCGCATTTTCAGGAAAATAAATGACTGATATTGTTGATAATATGCTTGTAAATTAGGCGTGGCGCTACCGTAGAGTATAATAGGTCTATGTGATTTAATCCGCGTAATTCATGTAATTTATATTTGGCATTCACCAGCTTCCGGGTCAGATGTTCGAGGTCCTTCAAAATAAATTAAATAAGATTAAAATGACTCTGGACTTAGATATACAAACTAACATACCTTCTTTGTCAGGATTATATCACGTGTGCCAAAAAACAACTGCAATGGAACGCGGACGTTGCATAGATTATATTCCGGCGGTTTTTGGCTTTTGTAATGTCGTAAGTTTTCACTCTTCGAAGAGTAGTCAAATTGTTGAAATTTGCCTAAAATACCAAAAATTTTAATATTACAGAGAACGGGCAAGAATAGAGAGAGTGGAATGAAAAAAAAAAAATCAAATGATTATACCATATTTCCATGATACAAAAAAGAAGGCAGTTTCAATAAACAACTTTTTGATTAAAAAGGAGATTTTTGACAATTGCTCAATTGTAAAAAAATCGAAGCGGGGTTACCCAATTTAAGTTTTTTGGTAGAGGGGTGTTTAAATCCTAAATTTGGGAGTATAAATAAAATAGTTGTATTAACATTTACCTTTTAAAAATAATTAATATATTATCTTAAAAACGTTTAAACTTTACACTAAATTCGATAACTACTTGCCAAAAGCTTTATTTTTACATTAATACAATTTTAGTGAACATATTTTAAAATTTTTTAGTGTCATTATGTCATCTGATTATTACACAATGTAGTTAGCTAGGACTATTACAGTTTTCTATATCGGATAAGATTGTTTCTGATATAATTGGGACACTGAAATTACACATTTCGATATTGTCTTTGTCCACGTCTTTCAAGTAACGTGAAAACGGAATTTACTTTGGGACCCATAGGCCTCATGACTTTCAGAAAAGTGAGTATTATCCAATTCTAGTATATTTCGACAACATCATTATTTCTTTGGATAAAATTAAAATATATTTTACTCAATATTGGATTTGGTGTGAAACAAAATTTGTGATTTATTGTTAGAATGAAAACTAGAAACACAATTATCAACTTATGGAGCATTCTCTTTAAAATACAAAAAGGGAAATGTTCGGTTATTTGGGATGGGGGCGGAGACGGAGGTACGGACCCATTGACAAATTGGGTAAAATTTCGGCAGCGCTTAGACAAAATTAATTCTCATCAGTCCAATTCCGGCTACGCTGACCACAGTAATTTTTACAAGAAGGTCCATATTTCAAACCGAATTTATTCATAAATTTGTATCTGAAAACTTGAAATTTTTATTTTAAACTAACGTTTAATTGTTTGACAACACGTGTGTGTTAAAATTTTTTGCTTTGGGTTAAGTCTTGTGACACAACAACCCAAAATTATTGTACAAATAACCGAGCCGTACTCAACAAAGTACCTTTTACTAGTTCGAATTTCGATTCTAAGAATAAAATGTTTGTAAATAAATAAAAAATTAATAATAAAATTTGGAGGATTTTAGATATTGCATACCGTAGCACGAAATGTCACAATCTACTTAATTATCAGGTTGTTAATATGGCGAAGAAAAAGTGACAATGGAACTACCTTCTTTTTTGTATCATGCCATATTTCTATAAATGGACTCAAAAGTAGAAAATAACTTTGCTTTGTTTTGATTTGGAAATTTTAGCAAAAGTCATTACAAACAATTTATGAAATTTAAAATTAAAAGCGTATATTTGCCCTTATTTTAGAATCGAACACGAAAAGAGAATGGGGCAATCAAAATGTGAAATTTTTTGGTAGAAACAAAAACACCATTACGAAAAAAAAGTTGCCGTAATGTCGTTCTTACTTGTTGTTATGCAGTGGTATGGAAATGTGCTAAGTTCAATAAAAAATCAACGAAAAAATATAAACACGTCTGTCCGTGTACACGATAACTCGAGATATCTCAATGAAATTTGGTATGTCGATTGTCCTTTATCCAAGATAGGTTCGAATTGAAAATGGGCGAAATCGGACTGTACCCACGCCCACTTTCCATATAAAGGTGTTTTCGAAAAATGCAATAACTACGATATGTCAGTAAATATTGGGTGCAAATTGTTGAAAACTAGTATGTGAAGTAAAATTTTGGTAAAAAATATTATTTTGAAATTTTTGGAAAATGGGCGTGATTATGATGAAATGCTGTATCTCAGTAGCCCATTCACCAATCCTTACCAAACTAGGTACGAGCCTTGCTTAGGGTCTAGTAAGAAATCTGTTGAAAATCGGGCAATGACTACGTGCATCTACCATATAACGGCAATTTGCAGAAGCACGAAAACTGCGATAAATCAATAACCACTAAAGCTAATTCACTTAAAATCGATGATTGCGATAACCACATAGTAGAAAATTAGATTATTATAAATCTTTGAATAATGGGCGTGGCGTTGCACACTTATGACCACAAATGTATAACTCGGTAACCGATTTATTAGTTTCTACGAAAATCGGTGCACTTAATAAGCTTGGTACGCAGAAGCAATTCGTTGAAAATTATTCAAATCGGACCAAAATTACGCCCGCTTCCCGTATATCTAACCGTAAATTTTAGAAATTCCGTATTTCACTGCTATTTCAATGACTGAGGACGCTAATTTACTCCAAGTTAATACTTAACGTACAATAAATAATACTGCTATAGACTTTTAGGAATTGGGCGTGGCACCGCCCATTTTATGACTACAAAGTTGTATCTCTGTAACCTTTTATAGATTTCTACCAAACTATGTTCAATTAAATCATTGAGTCTAGTTCAGCATATTATTGAAAACGTTTGAAGTCGGGAAAAATACCCTGCTTATCGTACAAAGGTAGTTTAGAGAAAGTTGAAACGACAATATTTGATACTTGCGCCGGGTATATAAAGTTCATTTTCGCCCAAACTTATACTCCTTTACTTGTTTTTAATTATTTCGCTTTATAAATGGTACATGAATTTACGACATAAAATAGTAATTTTTGTTAATAGCAATGAAATAAGACTGCATTAGGCTATTATTCATTTTAAAATAATCTTCTATATAAATACTTATTTCTAAAAAGTATTTTTCTGTTACTCAACAATATCTCCTTTAGTATTTTATAAACTTAATCGAATGATATCTCATTTTGATGGGGAGGAGCTCACGTACCTGCGAAAAATAGTCACGTTGTTAAAATTTAGTTTTTTATTTAAAAAAAAAGGGTTTTACAAAGCTAAAAACACTGTATCCGGACGAGGGGCGCACCCAGGAATATATTTTAGGGGGGGTTTTATATTTCTGAAGATATATTCGTTAATTTTGAGCTCCAGGCCGGTTATTAAATAAAACATAGATTTTGGTAGTTTTATTTATTACATTTATTGCTGTCGATATTTCGCCTTCAATCTGAAGGCATCTTCAGGACTGAAAAACACCAAATGCATACATATTTACGTCAAATTACAAAAAACTTACATCAAAAACGCAACTTACATTATTGAGTTTTTCCAATCGACTAATTCTATGTGCAGAAAAATATTAACAAACAAGCTCAAAGAACACTTAGACATAAACAAGAGAATTTAGGCAAGTCGAAATACCGTAAAGGCCCGTTTACATACAACTTTGGCGTTGCGTTGGCGTTGGCGTCGCTTCGACAGCTGACTATGAATACATGCATTTATATGAAAGTCTCCACATAACCAAAGTTGGGCAACGCCAACGCCAACACAACGCAGAAAGATGACCAACTGTCAACTTTTCGCGCGCGTCATTCGTCAGCTGTTCCAAATAATCAAAATTATGTGATTCAATTTTCATTTTTAATCAAATGCGGGCAAGAAATATATTTTTAATGCAATTATTGATGTAAAATTTTGGTTTTTCTGCCGCTAGTATTTTAATTTAGTGACCAAAGTATTCTCTGCTAAGCGTTCATTGTAGCAAGCACGGGCGTTACTCGCGCTGCTGTCAAAGCGACGCCAACGCCGACGCAACGCCAAAGTTGTATGTGGACGGGCCTTAAATGTAAACAAAAAATATACAAACAACAATACATGTAGTGGTGGACAGTAGGACGGAGAGAATCTGTATGTAGAAAAGCACGGCATAGCATTGTTATTGTCGGACGAAGTACTGGTGGCGGACCGACGAACAATCACATGAACACATAAACACATGACACCTACGTTATTGGTTTTTGTGCGTGAAAATTAAGTTGCGATAGACATGAGCGCAAATGTCTGTGTCCGTTTTAAAATTCATCCTTCTATTATTAGGGGTGTTCATGATGTGTAGCATCTCTAGAGTATAACATTTATTGTAATTTTTCTCTTCCTGTAAGATTGCTACATTGTCAAAATCGGGATAATGTCCCATATTTTGGCAGTGAGATGTTAAGGCTGTCTTATTGTCCATAGAGTTATTCCTTAATTTTATGTTAGATTTATGAGCGGAAATCCTTGTCTTCAATTTAGATTTGGTTGTCCCCACATATACCATATCGCATACGTGGGACCCGTCACCATTGCATGGTATTCTGTAGATTACGTCAGATTTCTCATTTTTAGGAACTTTGTCTTTGGTGTTGGTGTATATTTGTTTTAAAGTATTATCATACGTGAACGCTATTAGGGTACTCACAGTTCTATATTATCTACTGTGTTAATTTTGCCACCTGGTAACTTTAAAACATTTTACCATGTGGTAACTTTGTTTGTTGTTGGTTCCCATACTAATTAGAGATAACACTTTTGGGCAAAATTACTAGACTTTGTCTCATGTTTATGTTCTGTGTTAAACTGGCATCTATCGCTGCTTGTACATACATACATGAATTTCGCTTTGGGCGCAGCGCTGCTTGTACATAAGTTTCTCTTTGCGCCTGCCTGGAGCTGGCAAAGGTTATTTTTTTTATTTTTGCGCTGTGCTAGCTGAGTATAAAAAAGAGAAGAGAGAATAGAGAGAAATATGTATGTGGTTTGTTGATGCTCTCTAAACACAAACGCGTGAAAGGCAAACGGTCTAGCAATGCGTGGTATTGTTGATCAACTTAATACTTTATTTAAACATAAGGGTTGCTCACAGTTCGAGTGTGTTATCTTGTTAAAGTCGCCACCTTTTAACTTTAGAAGTAAACTGTGAGTACCCTATATGTGAAATTTCTCTCTGTCAAACATTTTAGAGTGCTTAATCCTCT